CGAAACATGTCGACAAAAAGCCACTGGGAGGCGACGAATTTACCCTCCTCGGGCTCTCTCGGGCCGGCTCAGCTCTCTTGGGCTGTTCTGGGGGCCTCTTCGAAGACTTCTGGGGGCCTCTCAAGGGTCTGGGGTGTGTTGGAGGCCTTTGGGGGGTCACGGAGTCCTCTCGGAGGTCTCTGGCGGCCTCCTGCTCCCGCTCTTGGGCTCATCTTGGGCCTGTTCTCGGGTGGCCGGACGCTGCCGTGGGCGCCACTTCGGGGCCGTCTTGGTCCGTATTGGGGCCGTTTTGGGGGCCTCTCGGGCGGTCTCGGGGCGGTCTTGGGGGTATCTTTGGCCGTCTTGGAGCGCTGGAAGCATGACATGGTGAGAAGGCTAATAACCCTGAAAACAACCATGACAAACGATGCTATGTTCTCTGGGCGCTCTCGGGAGGCCTCTCGGAGTTCCCTTAAGGTGTTCTGGAAGGCCTCCTGGGAGCCTGGAGAGCCGCCCAAAAGCTATCCTGGGCTGTCTTTTTTTCTGATGATCGAAACCACGATGTACCACGGACCCAACGCAACCAAAGAGGCGCCCACAATCAAAGGGAGATCTTGGTGCCAGACGGAAGGGTTCCGCTCGAGCTGCCGCCCCCGAGGGCAACCTCTGCGTGTCTCTGCACAAACAGCTCCTGCGTGTCGTTCGCGCTGCCGGCCGCTATGGCCTTCCCCCGCCTGTGTCCTTTCGCCCATTTCCGCTGCATGCGGCGCCAATGCGCCCGCGAACGACGTCCTTCCGGGCTTTCCGAGGCGTTGCCCCTCTCCACCTCCGGAGCCGCACCTCCTTCCTCCTGGCTTGGGCCGCGCCCTGTCCTGCTGGGAGGCCGCCGCACGTCGCCCTCCACGTACCGGGTGCTGCAGCGATTTGCCCCAGATGCTCGGGCCACACCCCAGCTCCGCTCTTCCCCCGGCTCGGGCGCTGCCGCCATACGACGACGAGACCAAGCTAAGCCCGGAGGTGGTATAGTCCGAGGTGGGGTCCGATTTTGGGGCGCTCTTTAACGGTGACGTATTGGATCCACGGCGACTGGCAATCCAAGACAGTGTTCTTGGTGCTCAGGCCAGGCAGGGGCCGAGCGGCCATGCCCCCCCCCCCCCGCTCGGGTGGAGCGATGCCCGCCAGCCCCAGCGGGTCAACACGCAGAGCGGACTGGAGCCGGAGCTGCTTGAGCCAAAATGGCTACGGTGGGTTGCTTGGGAGCGTCTTGGGCCTTTCTTTGACGTTCTGGGGGCTTCTTTGGGTCGTCTTGGGCTGTCCTTGGGCGTTTTGGGGGCTCCCCCGGAGGCCGGGAGTCGCCGTGCTGGGAGCGTTCCGCAGATGTTCCGGGAAGGTGTGGGACCCTGGGAGGAGGGGGTGCGCATTTGTTGAACCTGCCAAAAAAAATATCTGAAATCCCAGCCTTAGTCTTGGAGCGTTGGAAGCGGGAAAAACGTGAGAAGGCAAACAAAAATCAACAAAAAACACTGGAAAGCAACGATTTGACCCTCCTCGGGCTCTTTCGGGACGGCTCTCGAAGCTCTCTTGGGCTGTTTTGGGGACCTCGTCAGAGTTTTTTTTTGTGGCCTCTCAGGGGTCTGGGGTGTGTTGGAGGCCTTTGGGGGGTCACGGAGTCCTCTCGGAGGTCTCTGGCGGCCTCCTGCTCCCGCTCTTGGGCTCATCTTGGGCCTGGGAGTCCCGAAACGGTGCGGTGACGGACCGTGCGGCGACCTCGAAATCTCCCCAGACCTCACCGAACGGTCCGTCACCGCACGGTTTTGGGACCCCGGAGGCCCCTGTCACCCGAGACGTCCTCGGAGAGGGACTCGAATCCCAAAACCGTGCGGTGACCCCGAATCCCCACCGACTCACCGCACGGTGTGGTCACTGCCTCGTTTGGGGGGCACTGTTCTGGGGTGGTCTGGAACTGTCCGGCCGGGGCGCCTCTTCGGCAGTCTTGGGACCGTCTTGGCCCGCCTTGGGGCCGTCTTGGGGGCCTCTTGGGCGGTCTTGGGGGCCTCTTCGGCCGTCTGGGAGCGTTGGAAGCATGAACTGGTGAGAAGGCCAATTGAAAAACACTGAAAATTAACGATTTTAGGTTCTCCCGGCGTTTTCGGGAGGCCTCTCGGAATTCTCTTGAGATCTTTTTTGGAGGCCTCCTGGGAGCCTGGAGAGCCGCCCGAAAGCTATCCGGGGTTGCTGGGCAGCGTCTTGGGCAATCCTTTGACGCTCTGGGGGCTTCTTGGGGTCGTCTTGGGCTGTCTTTGAGAATTGTGGGGGCTCCCCGGGAGGCCGGGAAGCGCAGTACCGGGAGCGTACACGAGATGTGAGCGAGGCGGAGTACGCCCCAGGAGGGGGCCCGGTTCATTTATATCTATATACATATACAGGTGTGTATATATACATAAATGAATATGTATATATCTACACATACTTGTGCACACATAGATGCGGGGTGGAGGAGTAATATCATAACAAACAAGCAAGCAAACATTGCTCATCAGCCTAATTCACGGATCAGGACGCTGTCCGAAATCCTGGCATGCTTTGAAGCCGCTTAGTGGATTGCGTCTCAACCACAAGCCACATTAACAAGCAGTATTCCAGAGGTGTCGCAGGTCGCAGAAGCCCCACAGGCCCCCAATGTCGACAAATCCCACAAGCTTCCTATTTCCGACTGCGCATACAGTCGGACTTGATTGGACAGGGTACGCGAGAGGACACAAGACCCTTCCGAGGGCCACAGCGACACAGGAATGTAGGAATCATGGGTCGCGAGGCACAGGACACGAGGGTACCCTTGATTAGGCAGGGTCGACCTACTAAGCTGGGCCGCCTGTAACACGATGGCCCGCCATGACACGCGTCCGCGGATAGAGAACACAAACAGCGCAATGGAAAGGGATGTGGGGGAGGGGCACGATGCCAGATATGGCGCGAGAGCCTAGTTTGTCCTATCCCTCTCTATCTCTCTCTCTCTCTCTATCTCCCTCTCCCTTTTTCTCTCCCTCTCTCTGACTATCAACACGACCATCATTGCTGACGCTACAGGCGAACTTGGCAGATGCCACGGCATTTTAAACAGCATACTTATCGCATGATGGGAAACTGCAATGAAGCTGCAACGTTCAACTGTTTCATGACGTGCTGCCACCCAAATGGCCACAAGGTGAGTGTTGCAATGCCCACTGCCACCACTGCCTGCGGCACTCCCGACAAGCTAACCGAACAGGCGCTACAGGCGTCGTGGGCGGGAGGCGGCCGGCCAGCCATGTGCGATGATCTCCCATTTCGCGGATCCAAGACATCCGCGTGGCCCTCTGAACATTTCTTTAGCTGTTGCCTCCTCGAGTTCCAGTGCGAGGCAGCAGCATCGGTGCCGCCAGCGGTCACGCAGCAGGAGGCGTCCAGAGCGACCGCCTGGCCTCTCCACATCACGCCCGGCCTCTCGGCCCACTCCCAACAAGGGCTGGATGCACATCCCGGGTCGTCGTGAAGACGGTCCCGGGACCCCCCAAAAACGGCCCCAAGACGCCGAAAATTGCAACAATCGGGGACCCGCTTTGAAACAACTTAGGGACGTGTGTTTGTTTTGCGCTTTTCGATCTTGACTCGGCCAAGACGTTTGAAGAGCGGCGCCCCTCAGAAAGTGGGCGTCAGGCGGGCAGCATCATGTGAGATCTGGAGAGAGCGTATCAACCACGCAACGGAAACGGGCAGGTGGGCTCTTGGCCGATCCCTGACCTCAAACACAATAAAACAACACATCCACAACCGATAAACCAAGCGTCAAAACGTCCATCTTGAAAACTAGCAAACACAAACGAATGCCCCCAGCGGGTGCGCCACGGCCATGCCGCGAAGGCTGGTCAGCCAAACAGTAGCTCCCAAGCCAAGGTCAGCGAAGACCTGAGCCAACGTGCTCAAGCTGGGCTGAGCTACAGGCAAGAAGAGGTTAGGGGGCAAACGGACCTACATCGCTTTTGACCACCCTCGCTTTTGACCACCCTCGCTACGGCCAGCACCAGTCAGGCCGCTTGACGAGGAGGCGCGTGGTGTGACTTGGTTTTGTCTGGAAGCTAACGCGGAGTAGAACAATTCACGCTCCGAGATATATCAGACCCAGTCTGACGCACATCGTTTGGGTGCGTGATTGTGAGGGCGACGGCATAGAAACAACAGAACATCACCCTACCAATTCACGTCTACCTCACTGTCGTGTCGTACAGCCAGACCAAGGGCACAATAACATCCTTCAAGAGCACGACACCCTCCGCTGGCCAAAACATACAGAACATCCGAGGGCATGGCCCCCCGGATGCACAAGAACATCCAACACATACGAAGATTACTAGGGCACCCTCCCCGAACCGACCTCGATCTTATACCTCGGTCCGACCGTACATTACTTGCGTGTCGTAGTGTGAGCCTGCTTCTCACCGCAAGGGTAGGGAGTCGGCTCCACGTTGCTCCCAAATCTGGGTTGACTAGTCAGGGAAGGTCGATGGGGATACGCTGACACCTTCAACGCTGTCTCGGTAATCTACAGAGCCGGATCAATCCTGACCCGGGTCAGTCAAGCTTTGCAAGATCCTGCAAAATCCTGCAGGCTTCTGCAGGATCCTGCGCCCTAGCCCGGGTCAGTGCAACGTTGGTTCTGAAGGATCCTGCAAGATCTGGCGCTCTGGCTGAACCTGTTTGCTTTGTCCCCCGTCCCTTGAGTCCCGACTGGCCCCCGCGCCGTGCCCCTGGTGCAACAAGGGCCCCCTAAACGCGGACACTGTTGACCCAGATTTTGAAAACTCCACTTGGAGGGAACGACGAGCGGAGAACGCATCGACCCTGGGCGCCAGCCATCCTGGTTTGTCAGCGAGTCCTCGCTCAGGGGGCTCTCTTGAAAAGCGGGTCGCCACGAGGGGTTCGAGACGCAGGACGTCCGGGGGGCGCTCGGGGCCATCCCCACGGGAAGGCTCCGATGGACAGGCCTCCACCTTGCCGCTGATGAGCTCCTCTGCAGCCTGGGCCACGGGAAGGGGAAGGGAGGAGAGATGAGATTTCTGTTGTCATGAACTGCTGCAGGTTAGGCTCTGGACAGAACCAACAAGCAGGGAAGTATGTTTAGATCGATATCTGTACATATACACATATGATACCAATGAAGGGCACACGAGGCCCGCGCAGAAAATCGAAAGCAGACGCTGCAGGACTAGCGCGCCTTTGCAAAGCCAGCACAAGCGGAGGGAGGGAGGGAGGGAGAGAGGGGAGAAGCTGTTGGGGATGCTCGGGAACGTTCGAAGGTTCTCTTGCGTCGGCGGAGGCTTCTGGAGGTCTCCGCGCGCGAGGGGACAGGCCACCTCATCCTGCTGCTGGTTCCTGCCGCCTTTCCCACGCCCCTCCATCACCCAGCCTGTCCCAGGAGAGCCCAGAATCGAATCGCTAAATCGGATCGGTGATCGAAATGAATCGGATCGGCGGAGATCGGCAGCTGGGTGAGGAGGAATCGAATCTGCAAACATCGGCAGACCAGTGAGGCCCCCACTGGGGCATCGGAATCCACATCGGAATCCGAAGCCGAATCGACTCGGAATCGGCATCCATCGAAACCGAACCGAATCGCATCGTAGGGGACGAAACCAGCCTTCCTCAACGACGCGTCGAGGGGGTGGCGCGTCAGCGCCGCGCTCCCCTCGCCCCCCACCCCGCTCCCCATCACCCCCGCTTCGCTTCCCCACGGCCTCGCCCCCCCGCTCCGCTCTCTCGCGCCGCTGCCGACACGCTCGGATAATTACCACCCTCTCCCACAGAGAGTTCTTCGTCAAGGGGCAGGGCAAGGGGTTCTGCGGTGCTCCGCCGTGTTCGATCTTGGGGCCCTCGACGGGCCCCGAGGCTGTCAGAAAACCGCTCGGGATGAAACTCTCGTCCTGGGGGAAGGCCCCCGGGGTCCAGGACCCGTTTCCCTCAAGACCCGCTCCCCGCATGCTAAGTTCCGCGCGCCGCGCAGCGCAGCTCTCTACTGAGGGCCGTCGTGGCTACGCGGGTGAGTGTGCTGACCGCAGCTTGTGAGTTGTCGCGGCCACGGAAGCGACGGCAATCAATTGCCCAAGCAGCCCAAGGACGTCTTGCACCTGGGAGTTTGCATGGAACCAGGAACAGGATCGGGAATGAGGAAGCGGAGGAGAAAAAAAAAAGCAGAGTAGAGAGGGGGATGTTGAGGAGAACAGAGGGTGGATGCGGATAGTGAGTTCGACGATGAGAACGTTGACGATGCTGGAGATGGATGAATGCATCAGCTCTCGATGGAAGCAGTAACGCGCACCCCTTGGGGATGGTGTTTGTCTTTGCTGCGTCGGGCGTGGGCTGCTCTGCGCAATCGTGTTGTTGGTTTTGTTGATTTGCTGACCCATGTCTTCTCACCCGCCTAGGTACTACCTGGGAGGCCATTGGGGCCGTCGTGGGATGTCGGAGGCCCGAAACAGCGAGAACGCAAAAGATGCATGGAACGGACTCGATCTGTGCCTGTTGGGACAGTCTGAGAGGCCCTCTCCGAAAGATTTGGGGCCGTCGTGGAGCCCTCTCAGGCCCCGCGTGCGCCTGAGACCCCCGGAGGCCGTCCACCTTTTGGACCGTCGAGGGGACCTGAGGTCTGGTGGGGGGCCCTCGTGCGCCCCAAACTGCACCAAAAAAATCAGAGCTCACCTCCGGACCCCGCGACATGGGGTGCCGGGTTTGGGGGGGACAAGTTCGAGAAATGGGCCGACCGCCTAGGAGACCCAGTCGCCGGTCACAGAGTACAGGGCAATTTTTGTTTTATAATAATGGGATGTATATATATGAGATGTTTAATACATGATTAATGTATGAATAAATTAATACGTAAACTCATCCTTGTATTTATTAATCAACCCTTTATTTTTAATACATGGTCCGCACGCGGAGCATGTATGAAAAACGGCACTGTACAGCCAACCCGTATGATAAGGACGCACTAGAAGGATGCAGGGGGCTTGAAGGCCCTGGCGACACCCTGCGAGGGGAGCGCGGCCAGCGAGAGTGGCCAAGGACGGGCCGAAGGGGGCGGATGGAAGGGTACCCTTGGGAAGGTTGCCCATCCTTACTATGCGGGTTGGCTGTAATTGACCGAGCGGGCGGTCTAGCGTCGACGCGCTGCGTCGCATCATGGATGGACGGAGGCTTCGTCGAGGGCTTCCCCAGGTACACCCTGCGAAATGCTTAAGAAATCATGGGTTAAGAAACTCATAGTCTCAGAACTTGAATAAAAACCCAACAGTCCTATTAAAATCTTAGGACTTACATTGAAACATTAAGAATCATCGAGATCCTGGCCGAAAACTTAGGTTTTCTTAAGCATTGCCTAAGGTGTACCAGTGCAGAGGGAGAGGGAGGGAGGGCAGAGGCATGGCGGCAGGGACTGCGGCGAGGGATGGCGGGAGGGGCGATAGGAGCGGCGAGGACCTCGTGGCGGGGACGGGATGGCGGAAAGGAGTGGTAGGGGAGCCAAGCATGCGACATCATGATTATGTTTCAAAACGCGGCCGCGGGAAGTCCCGACACTTTCCCCAGGGCCCATCTTTCGTCCCGGGCTGCGTTTTGATAACTACCTACCAGACCACCCCAGCCCAACCCGAAGATCCGACTTTCGGGTTGGGAGGATTCGGGTTCCACATGTGTTTTTCAATGTTGACCGACATCCTCCCACTGGGAATGGAAGGCAAACTGGGGCCTTCAGGTTGGGTTGGGGTGGTTTGGTGAGTGGTTCCGTGATGGTCCCGGGGCCCGGCGAGGCCCCTCCTTAGCCGAAAACGGCAGAGAACCCTACGCCGTGAGTTTACCACGACGCGGGCATTCCTGGGGAGGGGTCGGCTGGGCGGGTGACGAGTGAACAACTCACACAAACACACACACACAAGGGAGTCAGAGGGGTGGGAGACTGGCTATGGATACGGGCGCGGGTTGTCGGACCCCGGAAGGAGCTCCCGTTCGAGCGGGACCCCTATCCGACAACACGACCTCATAGCCCCCTACGTCTCCCCTACGGTAAATTCGTGTCGTGCCGACTTCGGTGGTGGTTCCTGACACACGACCGGCAATGTTCGAAACGTCAATTCTTCCAACATCGACCGATTCTTGGACGCCGGCGGCGGTCAGCGTTGAACACCCGCGCTGGGGTCGCCGCTGGTCGACACGACGCGAACCTACCGTATGGGTATGGGTGTCTGTCGTTCGCTCGTCAGCGGGCAGGAGCCCGCTGTCCAGGGGCGGGCATGCTTGCCCGCCGGCCTGCGAGTCGAACTCGAAGACGGACACCTCTGCGCCGCGCGCGGCGCGGCGGGAGACCGGAGTTTCACCGCCTGCTGCGCGGCACCATTGGTTGAACTGAGTCAACTGAATTCAGGCTGAGCAGAGAGAGAGGACAAGGTCGGGTGAGGACACCTCGAGAATCTCCGAGACCTGGCGGCTCTGGAAAATGTCTCAGGCGCCGCGGCCTCCTCAAAGCGTTCTGGAACTCTCTGAGAGCGTCCCGGAACGCTCTGGAACGGATTTTATCCTCGTCCTAGCCCCGTCCGATAAATATCAGTACAGTCAACCCGTATAATAAGGATGCAGAGGCCTTGGAAGGTCATGTTGACACCTTGCAGGCGGGGCGCGGCCAGCGAAAGCGGCCAAGACTGGACCGAAGGGGGAGGATGCAAGGGCAACCATGGAAACTTGATCATCCTTACTATGCGGGTCGATTGTACCAATATACGTCTACTTTTATCCTATAAGATTCTATCCAGAGCCCCCCCAACCAACAGATTTGCACCCTCCCCCACGCCGTCCCCCCCCCCGTCCAGGGCCCAGACGACTGCCCCAAACCACCTCCCCAATGGCCCAGGCTTGCTGGAGGTCCTCCCCTGGACGGGCCCCAGACCGCACAGGACTGCAAGGGCGCCCTGAGGGCCTCCGAAATGTTCGGGGATAGCCCCTAGTTGCATCCAGGCGGCCCCAGAAGCACCTCGGACTTCTCGAGAGGGCACTCGGAGGATCCCCAGAACGGCGCCAAGATGAAAAAGCACTGATTCTGCGATGATGTTCTGAGAAGTCTAGCGGTCTCGTTTCTTGTGATTTTCTGACCGCAAAATGCGGCCCACGAGGCCCCCAAGATCGCCGCCACACGGCGGAAGGGGCCCTCAAGAGGGTCTCAAGACGGCCCCCGAGGGCCTCCAAACGGACCTAGAAGCCCCCCCAAGAGGGCACGAGGCGCACCCAAGAGATGCACCCAAGTAGCTGTGACAACCAATTGGCCCCCAAGAGGCCCCTAGCATGGCTGTAAGAGGCCCCCGAGAAGGCTCCGAAGAGACCCCAAGAAACTTCGAATCGTATCGAAACCTCCCCATGAGGTCCAGGAGGGGAAGGGGGGCACCACGCCACGACTCCCTTGCTAAAGATACCAGAGTGGCATCGGACAGCCCAGCCACCTTTCCAAAATGCCCCCCGACTACCCCAGACCGCCTCTCAGCGGCCCACGAAGGCCCAAGATGGGCCCAAGAGGGCACGAAAACGGCCCCAAGAGATCCCCAATACGACCAAGATAGACATTGACGGCTACGGGTGGTGTCAAGATGGCCCAAAAGGCACCCCACGCAGCTCAAGGGGCCCCCAAGAGGATCCCGACAAGGTACGCACCCGGGAGGCCGAAATTATTGAAAGACACGCACACTGATGTCGAAAGTAGTTGGTGTGATCGCCTGTTTCGGTTTCGCAGCCTCCAAGATCCCAGGATCGCCCTAAGACGTCACAGAAAGAGCCCAGTGAAGGCCCAATGAAATTGAAGAGGGGAATGACCCCCTGAAGGGATCTAAAAGAGCCTAGCCCGGAGGGGCCAAAATGGGTCCAAACCAGAGGGGGCCTTCCGAAAGAACTCAACACGGCCCAAGGAGGCTTCCAGGGAGCCTCACATGCTCCCGCAATGGGCACAACAAATCAGCTACCCGAAGAAGTTCCGAGACGGCCCCTCGGGAGCCCAAGGAGCCCAAGATGGTTTTAACGTAGCGCCTAGAGGCTTCGAGTGCACCAGAAAGAGAACGAGCTATAACCGCGATGGGTGGGGCGGGCTTCAAAACGACTCCCAAATATCGGCACAACTGTCCCGCGCAGGCGGAGGAAGAGAAGGGTGGAGGTGGAACAGCAAACGGAGCACTGGGAGACCGGAGCACTGGGAGGAAGAGATAAATGAGAAACCCTCGTCTCTTCATCCGTTTCGGGCTCAAAGCTGCCGTTAGCAGGTGTACCAGAAGCCGTGCCTGCTAGGAATTCTGTCTCGCAGCGGCGTTTCCTGCACATTCTTTCAAAAGGGCTCCCTGAGGGGTATCAGCGCCAAATTGTGAAAGGGCTTGTTATTCTCACTACTTCCCCGTCCCGTTCCGCGCCCACCTCCTCCTACCTGTCCTGCTGCCAAATTATCTCGGGCTCCTCACTCACTCATGGGCGATGCGAGGACCAAGATTTAAGACGAAACGGAAAGAGCCTTCAGCTTTTATTTATCTGCCCAATTCTCTATCAATCGATCTCACTGTTGATGACTATATCGGTCTGACGATGTGTATACCAATTCCACTGTCTACGTACAAACAGAGCAACCGCAAACAACCCCAAGATAACCACGGCGGTGCATCCACAGGACAACCGCGGGACAACCACCAAACAAGCACGGGACAACTCTGGACAATAGCGGGATAACCACGTGCGATCACGTGACAACCACGGTACCAAATCGGGAACACCACGGGCAGACCACTTGCCAACCACGAAGCAACCACGGACAACCACGAAAAAACGAACCACGGGACAAGCTCAGGACAACCGCGGAACAACCACGAAACTGCCACGCCACAACCTCAAGACAACCGCTGGACAACCGCGAAACAACAACGGGGAAACAACGGGACAACGACGGCACCACGATGGCACAACCACGGAACAACCATGGGACAACCGTGCGACAACCATGGGACAAACGCGGGATAATCACAAGACCACCACGGGACCACCACGGGACAACCATGGGACAACCGCAGGACCACAACTGGCCAACCACGGGAACGCCGCGGGACAACCATGGGTCAATCATTGGAACAACCACAGGACAATGGGATACCTATACCACAATATATCTTCGTACTGCCGATCTACCGAAATTGCTACGAATTCACCGGTCGCGGTTTCACAATTCATCTGTGGGTATCATCATCATAAAATATCGACGGGTCACACGAGCTATGTATCTACCGATCGATATCTAGATCAACCGATCTATCGACCACATACTATGCGCACTATCAACCTCACACCGACTAAGAAACAGCAAGACAACAACGGTACGACCATAAGCAACCACAGGGCAACCAAAATGAAACCACGGGACAACCACGGGACAACCACTAGACAACCGAAGGACAAACGCGGGACAATCCCGCTGGACAACCCCGCTTACGCACCGAACAAACGCGGAAGAAACGCAAAACAACCGCAAAACAACCACACCACGGGACAACATGGGATAACGGCGGGACAACCACGAGACAACTCCCGTCACGCACGGGACAATCATGAGACAATCGCAAGACAACCGCCTGGGCAAACTCTGGGCACGCCTGGGCGGACGGGGGGCGACTCGTTTCGGCCTGGCCTGGCCCCAGCTACTGGAGGAACTCGCGCAGCTTGACCCCGACACGCGCGACACGAATCGAAACCGCAACCGAATGTCAAGTTGGGGGACTCCGATGCACTCGGGCTCAACCCCCCCAACCTCCGACATTGACCTCCGATACAATACAGTGGGGGTCAGTCCACAAGAACCCTTCCACAAGAAGCCGGCCCAACCCTGAAACCCCAGGACTTCCATTGATTTTTGGTGCGGGAACGTCATGCTTTCCATAATAAAACCATCGAAACCCAAGAAAGCCAGGGCACCCAGGAGGTAAGCAGGGTGTTTCTTGGCATGGGCCTCCACTGTATATGAAGACCCACTCGCGCGGCAAAAGCGGCTGCCATGAGGGAGAGCAGTCCAAAGAAAGACCGGTCCCAAACACGCAGGGGCGTTTCACCACGCCAAGAACTTCATCCAGTCGGTTCTGGACGGTCCTTGAAGGGCCCGTGGCGGTGCCCTCGGGAGCCCGAGAACTGCGAACGAAACTCGAGGGTCCCTTCCGCTCAAGACCCCTGTGCTTCATGGTGGAAGGCTTCGTGGGCCCCAGAATCGGCCGGTCCACCTTTTTCACCGTTGGCGAAACAGTCGCTTGAAAATGGGGACGACCAAACAGAACAACCAAAAACGGCAACGAAAACAACTCCAGGCTTGCAACCGGAACAAGAGCCGGGAAAAGATACGGCGGCGAGCAAGAAAGGGGAAACGGAACAGGTCGCAAGAACGGCAAGACGGAACCGGTGAGACAAGGGCCCTGTCGCTTCCAGGGCACACGTAAGGTTGGAGGGGCCTCCGAGGAGAGCTCGTTGACGACGTAGGTGAAGGGCAGACTCGGGTGGAACTCCAGGTAGCGCGGGCTGGGCGCGAGGCCGGGGCGCAAAGCTCGGCCAACGGCGGGTTGCGGAGCCGTCGGCGGCCGCTCGCCCGGTCTCGCCGGCGGATGCCTCGATCGCAGCGCGGTGTGCGCGGGAAGGTTTGCTGCGGCGTGCTTCGAGGGGGGTTGTTGCTCGAGGCTCCCCCCCGTGGCGTCCGTCACCCTTGGGGGGGGTGACAGGACGGGCCACCGTGCAGCGGTAGCAGTGACGGGTCGGGCCCCGCAGAGGGGGGGGGGGAGCAAGGGGGCAGGACGACTGCCACGACAGGGACCACGACGAAGAGCCGCCTTTGAAGGTCTCCAGAGGTCTCTGGAGGCCTGGGGAGACCTCTGAAGGCGAATGGAGGCCCTTCGAGGCTCTCGGAGACGACGACGACGACGACGACGAAGAGGAGGACGACGACGACGACGACGAGGACGACAACGACCGCCTCTGGAGGCGTCTGGAGGCCTTCTGAGGGGCGGAGGGGCGGGGCGGGGGGGGGGCGGGGGGGTGGGGCAGGGGGCGACCTCCTCCCACAGTCGGCCCGTATCATTGAAGGGGCCCTGGGACACACAAATAAATACACACAAATAAACATATCCCCCATATTTTCCTATATTTTCTGGGTTTCTGTCTTCCCCCCCACTTCCCATATTTTCCCATATTTTCTAGGGAATCGAGGATTAATTGTGTCTGTGTGTTTCTTTTCCTGCTGAATCATAAGGAAGCGAGATAAGGATGCACGGGCCTTGGACGCCCACTGCGAAGCTCTTCGAGCGGGGCGCGGCAAACACAAGTAGCCAAGGATGGACCGAGGAGGAAAGGATGCCAGGGTACCCTTGGGAAGGTTGCCCATCCCTGCTGTGAAGGCTGACTGCAACGGACGTCACGGGTTCAACGAGTTAGAGGGCGCAAGCCATCTCAGCAAGCGGTGGGGCTTCTCATACGCCCTCAGACCTTCATAGAAACCGCCTCTGTCTCCAAGGAATGCCTCGAACACCGCCCAGAATGTACGAGGCCTCCCGAGCCTTCTGAGACGGCCCGCCCCCTCTGCATTCTCCCCTGGGCTCGCCGCGTCAAGGTTGACTACCTACCAGACCACCCCAACCCAACCCGAAGACCCGAATTTCGGGTTGGGGGGGGTAAGGGTTCCACATGTGTTTTTTCGATGTTTCCCGACCCCCCCCCCACTGGAAATCGAGGGTAAATCTGAGCCTTCGGGTTGGGTTGGGGTGGTTTGGTGGGTGGTGAAAGGTGTGCCCTGGCGTGCTCATGCCTGGATGCGCCGCTCGCAGCTGCTTGCTGCGCAGCAATTCGGCGTCATGGCGGCAGCCCGGGCTGGCTCCTGGCACCGCGCGCACTGTTCGACCTCGAACATTGGGGCTTTCCTGACTCGACGGCGAGCCCAGGGGGGAATGCAGGAGGGGTGGACCTTCCCAGAAGGCTCGGAAGGCGCAAGGCCTCGGGCCTCTGAGAGGTTTCCGAAGCCTTCTCCGACGACAAAGGCGGCTTCAGAAGGCCACAGGGCTTGTGAGAAGCTCCGCCGCCGTCTGAGGAGGCCAGAGCCCCCTATCGCTTCCCTGAAGGAGCCCTGGGACACACAAATAAATAGACACAAGTGACAGGATTCCCCATACATTCCCATAGGTTCTAGGTTTTTGTCTTCCCCCCCCACTTCCCATACTTTCCTATATTTTCTTGGGAATTGACGATTAATTGTGTCTGTGTGTGTGTTTGTCCCATTTGATTCCCCCCCGTGCTCGCCGCCGACCGACGGCCGGAGGCGTCAGACGTGGGTCTGCTCCAAGCTGCCAGCAGCACTCAGCCCTGACCGCCTCGTCGCCAGCGTCGCCGCCGCTTTGTCGACGCGGAGCGAGCCTCCCGCACGCGCAAATCGTCGTCGTTGTCGTCGTCGGCGGCGGCGGCGTCGAGCTCGGCGTCGCCTGCCTGCGGAGTCGAGGCGTTTGTGGGTGTGTATAGATGTGTGTATATGTGTGTACGCCTGTGTGTTTGTGAAGGTGTGTGTGTGTGTGCGCGCGAATGCGTGTGTGTCCCTCGTGACAAGGACCCGCCCTCCGGCTCGGCCCCTGGCAGAATACGCCCCAAGGGCGGTCTGGGTACATGGCTGGAGCTCTTGCCGCTCAGTGCGACCATCGGAACAGGATGCGGTTTCTTAGACAGCGGATGCTGTATGGTTCTCCGGGGTCCTAGCAACCCTTCAAGTCTTCAGTGGTTTAGCGGGTTCCTCTTTCAACCCCCTTCTTCCCCTTCGGGGATGGGTTTACCAATTCTCCCGATTGATAAACACTCTCTTCCCCAGGCGACCGGCAGCCAACCCAGACCAATGAGAACACCCCTCACCCCGCCATCCCTGTCCCCAAAAATACGAACACATACTTTTGGGCAAAATCTTGGGTCAAAGTCGCGGGCACCGCGAGCGTATTGTATTGTTTTTTGACCGGGACAGCGGGGGTGCCCTCATATTGGCTGCTTTGCCCCAAACCACCATCCCTGTCAAAAAAAGTCGCGCCTAAATCTGGATCGTGCGCGGCCACCTCCCGATCACTGTCCTTTGGCGTTTGGGCAAAGGCCGCGGGGGTATTGGTTTATTTCCTGCCGTGTGCAACCCCACCAGACACCACGATGGGCTCCCCGCCGCGAGTGCGCACTGGGTTTCGACAAGAATGGTAAGGGTCGGAAGGCTTCCCGATGTGTGCTGTCACGTGCGCTGGCGCACCTGGCGCACTCTGCGCGTGCCCCAGACGTGGCGCACTTGGCGCGGCTGGACCATGCGGCACACATGGCACACGTGGAGCACGTGGCGCATCTGGCGCGCGAGGCGTGCCTAGCACGCTTTCCAAGGGTGCCTGGCGCACTTGGAGCGCCTGGCACACGTGGCACACCTTGCCCCATCGAGCACATGGGGTCTGCATTTGTTCAAAGTAGCTGCCTATAGACGGCTGCTGAACATGCTGAGGCCCTGGTGTTACTCATGTGTTGGAGGGCGGGTGGGAGTGATCGAGACAGCTTGAGGGCGGGGAGGGTGTCTTGATCACTGCTCTATACGAATAATCTCCCCCTCCCCCAGGCGACCGGCTGCCGACCCGTACCAATTAGCCTCCCGCGACCATCCCTGGTAGGAAACAATACAAATTGCACTTTGCCTCCAAATCTGGCGCATGCGTGGGCGCCCGGCGATCACTTCGCAGTGGTTTTTGACAGGGACGGTGGGATTGCCGACGAACAGTATACTTTGGCTCCAAATCTGGAGCATGCGCAGGGTCCTCTTTTCTCCGAACTCGAATTTGTTTCACGACTCCGCAAAATGTCACAGTTTGTCCATCGGCACTCTTCCAGCAGAATGCTCGGCACTTCGCGTCAGGAGGATTCGAGATCCCGAGCTCACTGGGGCGAGGGGCCCGGGCACCTCGGGTCCCCAGTGGTTCCCCGTAGCTGGCGCATCTGGCGCGGCTGGAGCACGTGGTACAGCGGGCGCACGTGGAGCACGTAGCGCACCTGGCACGCTTGGGCCACCAAGGTGCCTGGTGCACCGGGAATCCGCGGCGCGCGGGGCACGCGTGGCATGCCTGAGCGGTCTGCTGACACTCGGGTGCTACGCATGTGTTGGTAGGGCGGGTCGGAGTTAGCTAGACGGAGTGCTATCTAGGAGGGTAGCTTGACCCCTCCCCGACCCCCCCCCCCTTGACCTGGACTGGGGGGTCGCGGGTCGTTAGAGCGTCCAAGATGGCCCAAGATGACCCCAAGAGGGCCTCGGAGAGTCCAACGTGACCTCAAAGATGGTTCAAGATAACACAAGTTGGCTCAAAATGGCCCCCAAAATGTCCCAAGAAGTCCCAAATCTCCTCCAAGACGGGTCCATGTGGGCTAGGGGCTCCCCGGTACGCTCCCAATATGTCCGAAGCCTTAAAACTCTCTGTCTTCTCCCCTGCCGACGAGGTCGGGACTGGGACTGCATGCCCCAGTGCGCGCGCGCCAGGGCGCGCGTCAGGTACAGGTAGCCTGTCTCGAAGCGGTCGGTCCATTGCTGCATGGGCTCCAGCTTCCGGCGTTTCATCTTAATCAGGAGCGTCTCCAGCTCCTGGCCCACATCCGGGACGGCCTGGCGAGAGCAGCGTCGCTCGAGCCATGCCAGAAGCCGTCAACGCCGTCAGCCCGTGATAGCCACCCGGGCTTGCAGCGCTCCACCGCCACCTCGGCGCGGCCCGTGAGCTTCGACTCGAGCCTCGGGCCGCACAGGTACCGCTCTTCTCGTTTGGTGCCCTCTTGGTACTGGAGGGCCTTCCGCCTGTATGCTCGCCAAGTCTTTGGATCTCCGTCCCAGCTTGGCACTTGTCCTCGATGATCCTCACTCATCGTGGAACTCTGCGTCGCAGTGGCATCTCTCTCCTCGATCTTTTCCTGAAACCCAAAAGCTCAAGCTCGACCCATCGAGCTTCCTCGCCCCTCCGCGCCTCTGGGCGCAGGCGAGGGGGCGCTGGAGCCAGAGAGGGCAGCAGCACACACATGGGTAGGCTCTGCAGAGCTCCTCGCTCGCACCCCTTTGAAGGGGAATTGGGACACACAAATAAATACACACAAATAAAACTACCCCCCATATTTTCCCATATTTTCTGGGTTTCTGTCTTCCCCCCCACTTCCCATATTTTCCCATATTTTCTGGGAATCGCCGATTAATTGTGTCTGTGTGTTTTTTTTTCCTCCTGATACACACATGGATAGGCTCTGCAGAGCTCCTCGCTCGCACCCCTTGCGCTCTCGAGTCTCTGTGCTCAGGCTTGCTCCGCACCAGATCTGCAAGCGGTGCCCTCGCACGGGGGCGCGGCCCGAGCCCCTCCGAGGCCGAGAGGCCGCTCGGCCTCTCACGGCGCGGGAGCGCCGCCGCCCGCGCGGGAACCCCCGGGCCGCGGCGACCTGCGCGCCGGGCCCCGGCACCGCGCGGGTCGCCCAGCGAGCGACTGCGAGCGACCTGTCCTCCTCCTCCTCCTCCTCCTCCTCCTCCTCCTCCTCCTCCTCCCTCTCCTCCTCCTCCTCCTCCTCCTCCTCCCCCTCCTCCTCCTCCTCCTCCTCCTCCTCCTCCTCCTCCTCCGCCGGGCCCTGGCACTGCGCGGGTCGCCCCGCGAGCGATGGCGAGCGCCCTGACCTGCAGTCGACCCGTACAGGAAGGTTTCTTTGGGGGGGGGCAGCGCAGGAGGGCCGTTTCACTGAAGGGGCCCTGGGACACACAAATAAAGACACACAAATAAAAAGATTCCCCATAGTTTCCCATATTTTCTGGGTTTCTGTCTTCCCCCCCACTTCCCATATTTTCGAATATTTTCTGGGGAATCGAGGATTACTTGTCTGTGTGTTTCTTTTCCTCCTGATTCACGATGTTTGCGCTTGCCTGCCAGGGAAACAGGAATCTTGGCACTCAGCTCTACTCGCAATCGCCTCGCTGTCACGCCCCAGGGCGTGGTCCCTGAAACGGGCAGAAAGGCCCGCCCCCCGACGGACCGAGAACGGGATTTCCGTATAGTAAGAATGCGCGATAAGGATGCGAGGGCCCTGGGGACCCATTTCGGAGCTTTGCGAGCGGGGCGCGGCCAGCGAACGTGGCCAAGAGCGGACCGAGGAGGCAAGGATGCAAGGGTACCCTTTGGAAGCTTGCCCATCCTTGATGTGCGGGGTGATTGTATCCCCAGAGACATGTGGATGGTTCTCGCCGAGACGAGCGCACGCGTCCGAGAGATGCCCAGCATCTTTGGGAGGGCCAGACAACGAGAGAGGGGGGGGGGCGGTCTCCGATGCTTAGGTGTATCTCTAACGACATGTGGATTGTCCTCGCCGAGAAGGAGTGCGCACGTCCGAGCAATGCCTAGCATCCCTGGGAGGGCCGGACAGCGAGAGATGGGGGGCGGGGGGGGGGGGCGGGGCGCGCCCGAGGGCCCTGCGCCCTGGGGGGCCCGACGGCATGGTCCCGGCCGCGGTGAGCGTCGCCTGCGGAGGGAGCGGGCGGACTGAGGCGGGCGGCGAGGTCGCCGTCGCTTGCGACCCTCGATCGTCGAGGCTCGGATGCAGGGCCGATTGATCGATGATGATGATGATGATGATGATGATGATGATGATGATGATGATGATGATGATCATGATGATGATGATGATGATGATGATGATGACGCTGATGATGATGATGCTGCTGCTGATGATGATGATGATGATGATGATGATGAGGATAATCCTGCTGCTGCTGCTGGTGATGATGATGGTGATGACGCTGATGATGATGAGGATGACGATGATGGTGATGATGGTGATGATGATGGTGGAAATGTTGATGATTCTGATGATGATGATGATGATGATGATGATGATGATGATGATGATGGTGAGCAAGATGGTCATGGTAATTATAATGACGGTTACGATGATGGTGATGGTGGTGCTGATGATGATTATGATGATGGTGGTCATGATGATTATGGTGACGATAGTGGGATGATGATGCTGATGCTGATGATGTGTATTATGATGATGACGATGATACTGCTGATGCTGAATATGCTGATGGTGATCGTGGTGGTGATAATGGTGAAAATAAGTATAATGATAGTGAAGATGATGATGACGATGATGATGATGATGATGATGGTGGTGGTGATCAGGATGACGACGCTGATAGTGATTATGCTGGTGATGGTTGATGATGGGATGATGCTGCTGTTGCTGATGATGAGGATTATGATGATGTCGCTGATACTGATGATGATCATGCTACTGATCATGATGATGGTAGTGATGCTGATGGTGATGATGATACATCGAGCGGGGATAACACTGATAATGAACCTTATGATATTGATGATGATGAAGATGGTGGTGATGTTGAAGAGTCTGATGATGATGTTTTTTGCGCTGCGCAGCACTTAGACTACAAGGGCGGTTCGTGCAAAGATCAGAAGCGGGCCACTGCAACGATTCCTCCATCTGTGCTGGGGGTATCCACTGATGCTCTGAATTCTAGCAGTCGTGGCCAGACGTGCAGCCAGGCAGCGAAGAAAACAAGACATTACTGATTCGCGGCCAGGCCGCGTAATGTAATATAAGTACATGGACGCATGGAGGGGAGGGAAAAGGATGGAGGGAGGAGGGGGGCCGCAGTTGAAGGGGCCCTGGGACACACAAATAAATACACACAAATAAAATAATTCCCCATATTTTCACATATTTTCTGGGTGTTTGTCTTCCCCCCCACTTCCCATGTTTCCCCATATTTTCTGGGAAATCGACGATTAATTGTGTCTGTGTTTTTTCCCCTCCTGAGCAGTGGCAGAAGGATCGGCTGCCGAAGGACAAGACGCGGCGTGCCCCACGGCGGCGCACACCGCTGCTGGGGGGTCTGCCCAGCTCTGCCGCGCGTGCCCGCGCAGCGGCGCGGGCACCGCGGGCGGGAGGCGCAGCGGCAGGATAAATGGGGAAATAGGGGGAAAACAAACCTACCTCGCTTTTGACCACCCTCGCTTCCAAGAGATACCAAGCGATGCCAAATTGCAGCATGTACTGGTCAGGCCGCTTGACGAGGAGGCGCGTGGTATGGCTTGGTTTTGCCTGGAAGCGAAAGCGGGGTAGGTATTTCACGCTCTGAGGAAAGGCGGCGGAAGCTGGAAGAGGAGGAGGGAAGGGAAACACAGACTCCCACTCTTGACGTGGGACAGCAAAAAAAACTTGGCTCGACTGCATCACGGCGCCCTGCGGTCGCTGTTCTTGCGCCGCGGGCGCGGGGGCCACGTACTCTGCGGGGCCGCACCGTGCAGAAGGGAAAGCACGGGACACTTGCAGAGCGCCGCGGGAGCTCCTTCCCCTCTCCTCCTCCTCCTCCCTGGTCGGACGAGACGAAGTCAAACGGACAGTGTAGGAGAGACTATTCGAGCAGAGCAACAGGACGGGACACTGCAACGAAGGCAATGCGGCAACACTGATCGCTCCGCCGAACAAAAAAGGATGACTGCGAGCGCGAGCTTGGACAGCACAATAGTCCAGCGTGAGAGCTGCCGGCTACTTTGGCACGGTGCCTCGATCTCATATTGCCGAGGTTGGAAAGCGGGAGAAGCACAAGTGAAGGGGCCCTGGGACACACAAATAAATACACACACACAAAACAAAAACACATTTCCCTATATTTTTTCTGGGTTTCCGTCTTCCCCCCCACTTCCCATGTCTTCCAATCTTTTCTGGGGAATCGAAAATGAATTGTGTCTGTGTGTTTCTGTTTTTTCTCCTGGATAAGGACGTACGGATGGCTCGAAGCAGGGGGGCAGAGAAGAGGAGAGGCCAGAAGCGCACGGGCGCCGCCGTGACCGTGCCGGCCGCGCCTTCTCCGCCCTCCTCACCGCGGCTGCCCGGCGGCCGCCCCCCCCCCCGCATTGGGGTGCTCAATTGGTCTCGTCGTAACCTCCATAGTCAGATGTCCCAGGATAACCGGCCTCGCCTGGGTGCTCAATGTCCCAATTGTAGTTGTCGAGCGAGCGTCGCCACATGGCGTACGTGACGATGATCAGCACGCACATCAGAGCACCCACAATCACGTACAGGAAGCCGAGATAAGCCAAGGCACCCACTCCCTCGTAGCACGCGCCCCAAACCACGCTCTGGTAGTACTCCGCCAAGAAGTTGCACCCCATACCATCCAGAATCTCTGTGACCTCGTCGACCACGTTCTCGTCGAGCAGATCACGCAGCCCCACGTCGATCTCGGTTGTCATGCTGCCCGTAGTGTCATCCAGGGTTGTGAAGGCAACGTTTATTCTCTCGTTGAATTCCGCGAGGTACGCCCCGAACTCGGCTAAAGTGCAGGGTGTTTGGAGCCTCGAGTACGTGCTGTCGGAGCCCATGCACGTTTCATAATCGGTGGCTATCCCACCTGTGCCGGCGGCCCAGACGTCGCACACGGTGCCGGAGGCGTCCTGGAAGACGTCGCACCTGAACACAGCGTCGCTTCTGAGGCCCTCCTTCGTCTCAATGATGAAAGATGTCGCCTGGCAGTTGGCCTCAGAGGAGCAAGGCGGCAAAGCGGTTGAATTGCAGGGCGCGGTCAGAGCCAGGCTGTAGTCCGACTGTGTAATGGCCGACGGGCCCGTGAAGTACGCGTCCATGCCCACGGTAGGCAGATCAACGAAGGGGGAGTTCGCGCAGGCCAGCGAGGTGATCATCGTAATATCCTGCCCAGTTATCCCGTCCGCAGCAATGAGGGTATCCATCGAGGTACTATCCGTCACGATGAGTTCTGCAATGGCTGCCCCGTACTCGCTCAGAAGCTGCCGCAAGGTCGTCACTCCTGTGTCGTTGGCCAGCGTCGTCTCTTCGCTCGCCAACTTGGTTTGGAGCTCATCGAATGGCGCGTCGATCGCTTCCTTCAGATCGGCTTCGATCAATTGCCTCATCGTCTGGGTGGAGCCTCCGGACGTGATCAGGAGGACATCCGCGAAGTTTGCCGGCACCGTGACGTCCTGCGGGTTGAGGCACTTGTCCACGATGTTCTTCATCATGGTGAGGGAGTCCCCCGTGAGATCGAGGTCCAGCGCGTCCTGGGCGCCGTCGATGACCTCCCCGCTGAAGCCGTCGAGGGTCAGGCACGTGACGCCCAGGGGCACGCCGACGGCCTGCAGGAGCCCGCCGGTGAAGAAGCACAGCAGCGCCACGAGGAAGCCGCAGCACCAGCTGCAGCAGGCGCACCTGTGCGGCAGCGCCTGCGTCTGCCCGTCCGCGCCGCTCTCCCGCAGCGAGAATGCGAGGCACCCCAGACAGCCGAAGACCACGGCGAGCATCCCATACGCAGGGAGGACGTACATGCTCAGCCTGCCTTCGAACACGCTCGACTCTACCAGGTCCCAACTATCCCCGTCAACAAGCGGGTCCAGGGCGTCCACAAGCAGCGTGTTCAGGTCGGAGAGCGGCGCAACGGATTCGTCGAGAAGCGTCCGCACATCCTGGCGCTTGTCGGTGTCCAGCGCGGCCTTTGCTTCCGCGCGCGCGTTGGTGAGCGCGGAGGCCAAGGAGTCTGCCATGGTGTCAAGCACACCGGTGAGCTCGTCACTGAGAGAATCGCAAATTAGACACTTATGCCCGTTTGGAACGCGATTGGCGCTCTCGTCCATCATGTCTTTCAGCAGCTCCAACGTCTGCGTCACATACGAGAAGGCCTTGTCGATTTCCACCGTATCATCGATGAGTTGATTGAAATCGGTCACGAAATCGCTGTCATCGTCGAGGACGTCGCTCAGACTGGTGAACCTGTTTGTCATCGGGGTCATACCGATGAAAGCAGGCGAACTTTGACCTTCGACAAGGGCCTTCGTCATCTTCGCAGCGGTGCATCCAAGGCGCTGGCTGCCGTTACTGATGTCTTCATACGTGGCGGCAGAAAAGATCCAACACAGGACCAGGCCAGCTCCGATGCCAAAAACCACGATTGTGCCGATCAGCTTGCAAACGAGACCCGTCGACTTCTTCTGCTCTTTTGCCCTGCACACCCGGCAGCACTTGCAGCACGGGCAGCAGGTGTAGCAGCAGCACCACCAAGTCAAAAACAAGAGAACGAACAATACCAGGCCGATCGCTTTCGGCGCGACATCTGTGGCACCATCGCCCTGCATGTACTCGATTGTTTTCGTCGGGATGTCATCACTGTTTTCTGCCTTGTACAAGATTTCAGTCAAGAACCAATTCTCCCCCCCAGCAGCGCTGTCCAAGGCTTCCCTTGACGGCTCAGTGGTGTCTACGTCTGGACAACGATCCGCGATGGCGATGTCGTACTTGTTCGAGGTGGCCGCGCAGGACGTGAGCAGAAGAGCCCATGCAAGCGCCCACGCGCCTTGAGCGGACATCATTGCCAGCCTTCCTGCTGCTCTGGCGAGCGCGCTGGTCTCCCTACCCCGGCGTTTGGCACTCAAACGGCTTGAGCCAAAATGGCTACGGATGATTATGTCTCGGGTCGGGCGAAAGGGGGGGATAGCAAAGGGGGGGTTTGAGAATCAGCTCACGTAGCTGATTTTCCCGGCGCCTCCCGGCGCCGGAGGCGAGTATGTATCGAGGAATGGGCCCCTCGGTGAGGCCGAAATCAGCTGCATGCAGCAAATTTCGTAACCCCCCCTTTCCCAATCCCCCCCTTTCGCCCGGCCCGAATGTCTTGGCGGCGAGCCCAGGGGAGAAGGCAGAGGGCGCGGGCTTCTCAGCAGGCTCGGGAGGCCTCCAGCTTCCGAAGAGCAGCTCCCAAAACCTCCCGGGAGACCCCCCACGGCTCCCCGGCAGGCCGGAGGGCTTTTCTGAGAGGCCCCGCCGCCCTCTGAGAAGGCCTGCACCCTCCCACTTCCCACCCAACTCTTACTTGAAGGGGCCCACAAACACACAAATAAATACACACAAATAAAAATATTCCCCATATTTTCCTATATGTTCTGGGTTTCTGTCTTCCCCCCATTTCGCATATTTTCGCATATTTTCCTCGGAATCGACGAATAATTGTGTCTGTGTGTTTTTTTCCCTCCTGATTACTTTCCGCCCTGGGCGCGCGGCCTTCGGACGCGAGCTCCCGCTGCAAGCATCCCACTTACGCTGGAACGTCACGACCCCAGGCGGGCTCGCCAAAAGGCATCGGCAGACCCGAGCTCCGGCGTATACTCGAGTCTTACGTTTTGCCCCGCCAAGGGTACCCGTGGGAACATTACTGCAGGTTCCTGTCGTGTCGACCCCGGCGTTGGTTCCCGACACCGCGCTGGATCGTTCAACCTGGAACGATCGGCCGTCTCCGCAACGTCCAATCGTTCAACATCGACCGATTCTGGGCCGCCGTCGGCGTTCAAAGTTGAACGCCGGCGGCGGGGTCGCCGACGGTCGACACGACGCGAACCTACCGTACCCATCCTTACCTGGATCACCGCGGTGGTTGCTAAGGGGATGGGGCCACTTTAGCATCCACTTGTATCACCCGATCCTCGTAGCAACGCCCGCGGCGATCCAAGCGCCTTCCGGCCATCGCTCGGACGTCCACTCCCTGTGTGTTTGTTCGGCTTCGTGCGTGTGTTTTTTCGCCGAATGATCCAGGACGCTCCTCGATGGTCCTCGCCGAAGGACAAAGGCACACGTCCGAGCGATGCCAAGCCCTTTGGGAAAGCTGCCCGTCCTTAACATCGGTTTCGACCGCAGGGGCAGAGCGCAGGGAGGCACCGCCAGGGGGGCCCCCCCGGCGCAGAGGGCGCCGCCCGCTGCGGCAGCGGGCGGCTCCCGGCGCGAAGGTCCCCCCCGACGGCAAGCATCTCGGACGAGGGGGCTTCTGTCGGGCGGGTGGCAATGGGGGGTGACCAAATGAGGGGTGACGAGAAGGACCCCAAAGGGGCCCTGCAGGGCCCCTGCTTAGGAGGCAACTGCTGGGAGGTTCTCGTCGGAAAGACTAGAAAGGGGATTGAGCCCCATTTGGGAGCTGTTACGCCGGAGTGGGCCTCGGACTAAGCGGGATTAAGCGGGATTCAGCGGGATCAAGCCGGATTAATCCGGATTTCGGACCAGGGCAGAATCAGAATTTGACCTCCCAGGAGTGGCATCCGAACTGTCGTGCGGGTGGTAGTGGGGGGTGGCCAACAGAGGGGTGAAGAGAAGGATCCTGAAGGGCTCGTTTAGGGCCCCTGCTAGCTCCCGAAAAGGGCCCTCAAGGGATCCTGGAGGGCCCTTTTCTTCACCCCCCCTTCCCTCGCCATCGCTCGGACGTCCATTCCTCGTGTATTTTTCGATTTCGTGCGTGTTTTTTTGTTCGCCAAATGATCAAGGATGGTCCTCGATGGCCGTCGCCGAGAAAAAATGCATACGTCCGAGCGATGCCAAGCTTCCAGGTCATCCCCCATTACCACCCGTCCGATTCTGCTGACCAGCTAACTTCGTCTCGTCTCTTCTCGGCCACACGTCAGAGTGACCCTAATTACGCAAGAATGTCCTTCAGTACACGGATGAAGGGGGCACAAGGTGGCAAAATCCAAGCGCGCCAGCAGCCACTATCCCATCGCGCTCAACGATCGGGGGGACCCCCGTGAGCCCGAACCAAAAATCACTTTGGCGAAGGGTCACTCTTCCGTGTAGTCGATCGTCTTCCGCCTCCTGCCACGCGCAGTGTAGACTAGTCAACCACAGGCATGCCTGCCATTCCCCAGAGCGGTGAGATCAGGCTAGCAATGCCTTCTTCCGCCCAAGCGCTCCGGCGTATGGCACGAGTGAGCGAGTGAGCGATCGTGTTCCCAGATTTCGGCCTTCGGGCCCTGAGGTCTGGGCGTCGCAATTTGTTCACGAAAGGCGTGCACGGAACGATCCGACTCGAACAAATCAGCAGAGCGATTGGGTCGGATGTCTGGGCAGGAGACAGAGTGCCGTGCTGGAACTGTTCTGGACCAGGAGCATGCCGTAGACTGATCCACCCTTTCTCCGACCTTGCACTGCGTCAAACGCTACGGACGCGTTGTCTGCAGACGTATCCCCCCCGCATGTGCTGATGTACGCAACGACACCCAGTGTGTCCATTGACGCCTGTGGCTAGAAACTGAGAGCGGTACGTGGCACAAGCACCAAATAAATGTTAGGTGGCGACATCCGAACCCTACCCCACCAACCATCGATTCTCCTGAATCGTTCGGTGGCAACTCATGGAAGCCTCCAATACCATCTAATCGTCTCCTGTGAATCGACGCTGATCGACGCTAGTCGACGCTAATTGACGCTAAGTCGGCGCTAATCGACGCGAACAGACGCTGATCGGCGCTATCCCATCGACTCCCAAACGCCAATCGACGCTAATCGACGCTAAAGACGGAATTAAGAGGGTATACCAGGCACCCATTCGGGAAGACGTAAGACTTGGTGGGTCCGGGGAACTCAGGTTGGCCTGACGGGGTCATCGATGAAAATGACCAGACCCAATCTGAAACTTGACGCGAACTCCTGCTGCAGACATCCCACGAAAACCAGACCGTCAAAATCCAGGACGCGCTCGTCAACAAAAAAAGTCGGCAAACCCGAGTTCTACCTTACTCGAATCGTACGTTTCCCCGATCCCATGATTCCCTACCTAGGCTCTGCCTAGAAGGGTTCTTACCCTGTTGGCTTAAAGAACCGGGCAGTGGACCTCGCCCCGGGCGGTTCCCCCAGGATCCGCCCCGCGGTTCCCCCCAGTGACGTTCCCTTAGCTTAGCGTTGCTTATCTTATCTTAGCTTACCCTAGTTTAACTTAGCTTAGCTTAGCTTAACTTAGCTTAGCCTAGCTTAGCTTAGCTTAGCCTAGTCTAGCTTAGCTTAGCTTAGCTTAGCTCACCTCAGCTTAGTTTAGCTTAACGCAGCATTAGCATAGCATAGCATAGCATAGCATAGCATACTATAGCATATCATAGCATAGCATATCATAGCTCCAACTCCTAGGTCGGGTCGCACTGGGATAATTTGTTAATGAAGAATCAAGGGCATGCGGGGGTAGGGTTGGATATGGCCACGTGTTCGACGAATTCCGAAACCTCTCCCCCTGCCGCCCGCGGCGGCAGCACGGGCGAGCACCGACCAGCCCGGCACAGAAGTCAGCACCCCTCCGACGGGAACTCCACTGACGGGCACTCTGGCCGGTGACCCAGCGAGTCCAACCCTTCCCGCTGTGGGCCACGCTGCCACGCCCAGACAGAGGCTCTGTAAAAGAGCAACTTTCAGCCAGCTTTCCAAAGTACCAGGTGGTGTTGAGGATGCCACGACAATGGACACCCTAACAGTCCTAACATTGAATGTAAACTGTGTTTAAAATGTCGGAACATGTTCTAAGCATGTTCTAAACATGTTCAAACCCTGTTTAACACATGTTTTAGACATCTGGAAATTATTTGGCAACAAGCGTCCTCTCCATTGATCATCCTCCACAACGGGGCCCGCTCTGGGCGAGCCACGCTGCCGGCGGGGGCGCGGAGGAAAATGACGTGGATGCGCAGGAGGAGGATTTGGATGCCCGAAATGGATACGGAAATAATGGGTACAATGCCCAAAAACAAATGTTGTCCCTAACCAACAGCGGCCGCTGTTGGGCGGGCGGCCTTCTGTCTCGAATGGTCGCAGGCCGCGGCGGCGCGGACAGCGAGTCCTGTTCAAAGTGGACAAGAACTGCTGTTGGGCATTGTACCCATTCTTTCCGTACCCATTTCGTTCGTGCAGAGAGGAGGGGGAGAGGAGGACGACGGCGCTGACGAGAAGCTCGACGAAGACGGCTTGGCCAGACTCCGGCTCAACGTTTGGCCGTATGGGCGTTTCCGAAGGCAGGGAGAGGCGGGGATTCGCCGTGAGCGTTTCCGATCCGCCGCCCCCTGTGGCTCTCGGGCCGGGCGAAAGGGGGGGATAGCAAAACGGGAGATTTGAGAACCAGCTCACGTAGTTGATTTTTTGCCGGCGCCAGGAGGCGCCAGGAGGCGCCCATGTCTCGATGAATGGGCCAGACGGCGGGGCCGAAACCAGCGGCATGCAGCAGAGTTCGGGACCCCCCCTCTCCCTATCCTTAAGTCGGGCCTGTCCCCCATACAGGGGGATTTTCGACGAAAAATAAAATACCCCCCTAAAAAAACCAAAAAGTACCAAAATAGTATGGGGACTATTTTTTGAATATTTGTTGACCTTCTTGGGCATTTTTATGGTATTTTTTATTTTTCGTCGAAACTCCCCCTGTAGGGGGACACGCCCGGCTTAACCCTATCACCCTCTTTCGTTCGGCCCGAGAGGGTAGCTCGGGGGGGTCCAGGATTCTGGGGACTCCAGGTTGGCCTCGCGCGCGCCCGCAGAGGGGCACGAGGCTCCGAAAGAATTGTTCTGGCGAAGGACCCAACCA